TGCCCTCCGCAGGGAACTCCCCAGAGGGTGCTGGGCGGTGCACCGGGGCCCAAATGATGCACAGGCAGGCAATTCACTGCAAAGCAACTATGTTTCCTTTAACACCTGTTTAAAACATGGATGTCCAGTAACTGCCCTTGGCTATGGGGTCTCCCTTGGCACTGAAGAAAGTGTTCTGTGGGGAGGTTGCACGTCCTCACGAATATACTAAAGCCCTCTGAACTGTGTACCGAACCTCACGAATATACTAAAGCTCTCTGAACTGTATACCGAACCTCACGAATATACTAAAGCTCTCTGAACTGTATACCGAACCTCACGAATATACTAAAGCTCTCTGAACTGTATACCGAACCTCATGAATATACTAAAGCTCTCTGAACTGTATACCGAACCTCACGAATGTACTAAAGCCCTCTGAACTGTATACCGAACCTCACGAATGTACTAAAGCTCTCTGAACTGTATACTGAACCTCACGAATGTACTAAAGCTCTCTGAATTGTATACTGAACCTCACGAATATACTAAAGCTCTCTGAATTGTATACCGAACCTCACGAATGTACTAAAGCTCTCTGAACTGCATACTTGTGGAAAATGATAAAGTGTGTGGTATGTGAATTTGATCTCCAAAAAGAAGACCAGCCTTGCTTCAAGCCACAACCCCCACAATAGTCATGTCTAACCAGGCCCTCAGAACCTCAGGTTTTTGGGGATATACTGGTTTGGAATGAAAGTAAGAGAGCATTTCAATATTTCAATTCTGAGCTAATGTGGAGACAAACATTAAGCCAATAATATAGCAATGATACTCAAGCCCTGACTGGAGTCCTTGTTCCGTGCCAGGCACAGGGGACGTGCCAGCCATGGGGACACCATGTGGGCGGCAGACGGGCTGAGCCAGGAGACACGAGCAAGCACCACCTGGCCCCTCTGATGCGTGCCACAACCTTGGTGGCCTTCTCCTACGTTCAGACCCTGCCCACAGGGCAGTGCTGGGTCACCAGGGACCTCTAGTGCTGGCAGTGTGCCCTGCACCTGTGTATAACTTGATTAATCCAGGATACTGACTGGGTCCCATGGTGGCCCCTGCAGACAGAGGTCCTCTGTTTTCTACTTCCAGTCACTCCAAGAGTTCTAGGACAGGTCAGAGGGTGTGAGACCCTCACGCGCCTGTCTTTCCTCCCCACATCCCCATCTCCACTGGGCACCATGGAGGGGGGTGGGGGGCTCTCATCTCTGTATGTCCACCCTCTCACTCCCCACGCACCCCCCTACGTGTCCATCAGGGCCCGTCTTCCAGAGAACATCCCATGCAGGCCACAGCCTCACTGACTCATCCATATCAAATGCTACAAGCAATACACCTGGCAAGGCCAGGGAACCTTCAGGCAAGGTCCTCGAGAAGGGGTTTCAGTGGGACAGGAAGGGTCCTGGGAAACCTCACCTAACCAGTGCTCGCCGGTGAGCCTGCCAAAGCCGTCTCGGTAGGCCTCCCAGCCACGGAAGAAGTTCACGGAGCCGTCTTCCCGGCGCTGGAACACCTGTATGGGGTTCAGGTGAATTGACCATCTTGGAACCCCCCAGCCCCCCTCCCTGTCCCACACTCTTCCCCCCTATTTGCTCCCCACCCACCTGACCCAGGACGGAGCAGGCGCTAAGGAGCTGGGGGTGCCCCAGGTACAGCTGACCAGGTCCCCTAATTCCTGGGACATTCTCTCATAGGAGAAACCTCTGTGCTGGGGGTAGAGATGGGGGCCTCCTGTCCCTCCAATGATGAACCCTGCATGGGTCTTCCTCCTTTTCCGGGCCTCAGTTTCCCCCTGAAGTCCTGGTGTCTCTCCCCCAACCCCCCACCCCATCAAAGCAAAAACAGACAGAACCCTATTCTTAAAAGCCAAAAACGTCCCTTGGGCTTGGACCCCAAGATCCATTTTGAGGCAGATCCATCCACATCACCAAGCTTTCCTCCCTATATCCCATACCCCCCACAAAAATGTCTGGGTCAGAGGGGGCCGGTGGCGGTGGGGCCGGGGGGCTTGAGAAAGCAGCTCTCAGCCAACTCCTGAGGGAGTGAGTGGGGAGATGTCCACAGCGAGCTGGGGTGTGACTTGGGTGCCAACCAGCTTCCCAACTGCCTGGATTCTTCATGTTAATAACATTCTTGATTTGGGAGTCGGGAATCCCATCGGTTAAATTGCTTTGAAATAAGTCCCGCGCTGGTCCAGGCCAGAGCAGCCTGGAGTATTTACCAGCACGCTGACAGTCCTGTTCCCGTCTCCCCGCCCCTTCCGCACTTCAAACCCTCTGTTTAACAAGCCTTTTCCCTGCTCCTTTGCCTAGACAGCAGCCCGGCAGCCCACCTGCCGACCTGCCTCCATCTGTGTCGGCAAGGAGGGGGTCCAGATCCGGCTGGGGTGGCAGCAGGCTGCCAGTCTCCTTCCCTAGCAGCCCGGT